TAATAAGGTTCCTTCTCCATTTTTTGTAACGATTACTCTAAAAGAATGCAAATTTGTGTAGACATGCAAGAAGTTAACAAATCAAACTGGTTGGTGGAGAGCTCTCAGTTATAATTGTTATTGATATAAAGCTATGGGTGATGCACGCTAAAGTTGCTGAAAAGTTTGTATGTTGCTACAATTAAATAATACTTGTTGGTGATACTGCTCATTGACTCCCTTGTACTTGTGGTTTTGGTTAGTAACTTTGTTTTTCTAAGCAAAAAACATTTTGATTATTTAGAATTTTCCTTATCTTCTAATCAATAGTTTGTAACTGAATTTTCTTGGATGCACGTAAACCTAAGGCTATGGGATTTACCATTTTACCTTGCCTCTGTTTATTTCCTTCTCTTTTATGGGTATCATGGAGACAACACAATGCAACATGTAAAATGCAATACATAATTACATATGTTAAACGTGGTTAGAATTGGGAATTTGTTTATAAGTATAGATGCAAAATCATCCAGCAGTATAAAGTATATGTATGTAGGATACTATAATTCATTATTGACTTTACTACTTTTTACATTGACTTTTTAGTGACTATGAATTGATAACAGCATTTATGTATTGGTGAAGGAAGTTTGAACATGGTCTAAAAGATACTTAACAAGAATAGCACTTTGCATAGAAAGATAGATTGGATAATGACAATAAATGCTTCTTTAATTTTTGAATTAATATAAAGAGATCTCTTAAAGAAAGTTTACTTGCTATTAATTCTATTCTACCAATTTAATTGTACTTTTATTTGAGCTTTGCTACAGGCTTCACAACTTTTGCTGTCAGTTTAATTGCTAGGCTTCACTGGCCTCATTGTGGGTGAATTTCATTACAGTATAATTTTGAGGTATTGATTTAGTTTCCATTGTTTTTTTTAAATGTATTCTTGCAAAACACATTTGATAATGTGTTATGTAACATGAGACAATTCTCACTTCTTCAAGTTGAAATTTGATTGCAAAAACCTCCTATGACAAATTCCTTACAGTGAGGTTGCGTCATCCATGTTATTCGTGAATCATATATGGCAGCGGATACTATGGCTATAATAAGACACAACATCGCAAGTATTTTGTTGTTTTTGATTGTATCCCCAAGCAGTTAAATATGCATATATTGTGGAATTGACATAATTGAAATTAAATTCCCTAAAACTCACTGTTATATATATTTTTTTAAATAATGATGTATCATTTCACTACTAATTTCCTTTTAATATTAAATTTTTATTTTATTTTTTTAATTTCAAGGGCCCGGGCATTGCCCGGGGTATTAACTAGTTATTCAAGATATGTGTTGCATACTCTTTTTTTTTTTGCTTTAATATTTTATATTTCTTCTGATATTTTCTTCATTTTGGTTGTTAAAGTTCTAAATATTTTATTTTCCTTTTGAACTCATCTAATTCTAAAAAAAGGCTTAAATAGTTGGGCCATTACTTTCTTTAAAATTTTTTAGCCTAAAGTAGAATTTGTGCCTAATTTTAGACCAACGTACTTTAACCAATGCTTAGATCCACTCATTAGAGTTAATGGCAAACTTCAACTTCACTCTTTCAATTGGATGAAACTCAAGGTAAAGCTGATAAATATGAATGAGCACGACTCGAGATAGGTTACCTCAATATTCTACCTCACTCTTTCACGACTCTTGTGCCCACGCATGGCGTTTACTTAGGGGCTTAAATAGTTTAAAACTAAGTTTAGAGGCTAGATTGAAAATAAAAAATAAGTTTGGGGGCCAACTTATAGGATCATTTCATTCCTTTCTTTATTCGTTTACGCTGCTAAGGACTGGTCCCGGCACGGGGCTCTTGATATCAACCGTGTTCGGAGTTCTCCCGTCACCTGTAATTTCTCAGGGGAGAGAGCCCGAAACGTGGACTTTCCGGTGAGCTCCAACTCCTGACGAGCTCTGCCTTCGAAGACCAAACGCAGGGAGATCCAATCCCGTAACGACACCATCCCTCTTCCATGCCACCTGCACCATCAGCTTAAATAATACGCATCGATTGAAAAGATCAAATCTTGATGGCGATTCTTTACGCGGTGGTGGCTCGGGGGACGGTGGTGCTGGCCGAGTTCAGTGCGGTCACAGGGAACACTGGGGCGGTTGTGCGACGTATCCTTGAGAAGCTGCCTAACGAAGCTGATTCCAGGTTCTGCTTTTCTCAAGATCGCTACATCTTTCACATACTTAGATCCGATGGCTTCACCTTCCTGTGTATGGCAAACGATACTTTTGGAAGTAAGTTTTTCAAGTTATCTCCCATCAAGCCTTCTCATTTTTGTTTGAATTTTCAAGCTTGGCAATGGCTTTATGCATTTGGGTGCTGAATTCGGCATCGATTTGATACTAATTATCTTAATTGCAGAAGGATGTAAGCCAATCGAAGCAATTTCTGTCTAGGTTACTGAAAATTGTGTATCTTTCCAGCTAAAGAAATGGGTATAATTGGTTTTAGTGACTACCTCTGTCCGTGAATCTGTGAGGGAGAGTTACAAGTATTGGTTGCAGACATAATCATGCCTTTAGTGAAGAATTAATGAATTATAGTCCCAAGAAATGTATTGGTGACCTCACATTTCATTCCCTGATAAGGGTTTGGACTCAAAGACACCCTTTGTTCATCTCGTTGATATGTGATGAAGAAAAAAATAGAGCTGAGTTATGCATTTTGTGAAATGATTAATGGAAAACCTGAAACAGTACTAGTTTCCTGAAATTGATGTTAGATCGAATGTCCTGGAGATTTTAACTTGTTAGTGACTTTAAATTTATTCTTCTTAATTGATTCTGTTAATTAACTGGATTTATTTACTCTCCACTCTTGTTTCGGCATTAATAGCTATAATGAATGTTTTATTGGTTTTCATCTTAAGGTAGCATTTTAGATATCCTATTGAGAAAAATGTTACAGATGTGTTATTCGATAATTTTGCTAGACTCATTTCTGTTGATGTCATTCAAGTGCCTCCTTGATCTCCTCATACATTTTCCAATTGAAGGTTTTAGGTGTTGCATAGTTTTTCTCTCTTACCATGTCTTGTGTTTTGGCTAATGATACTGTTGTTTCCACACCAGAAACTTGCAATCAACATCATGACTTTTGGTCTGCCTTTTTCATAGAATTCTTTTTTATGAATTTATTACCTTGCTGTTATATCACACTGCAGTATTTTTTCTTTTCCCTTTTTAAAGACATGTGAATGGATGATTAAAATGCATTATCATATGCCTCAATGCAGGAAGAATTCCTTTTTCATACTTGGAGGATATCCACATGCGGTTCATGAAAAATTATGGGAGGGTAGCTCCCTATGCTCCTGCTTATGCAATGAACGATGAATTCTCAAGGGTGTTGCATCAACAAATGGAATTTTTCTCTAGTAATCCTAGTGCAGACACTCTAAATCGTGTTAGAGGTGAAGTGGGTGAGGTGCGTATCTTCTCTTGTTGTCAGCAACTTCATTGTTTTTTCATCTTTCAGATTGATTATTGGGTTATTTTCTGTTGGTCACAAAGTGCAATGCATGCTGTAGATGGTTGTTTTCTTTCTCCTTCTCATTGCAAAATTAATTGCTCTCCATACATGCAAAGATCATTGCTTTGTCTCTGTTGGATTCAGTACCTTTGTAATTGTGTTCTGGAAACTGTCTTTTGAATTCCCCCCAATGGTGTATTGGACTTTAATCATTTTCTAGCAATTCACCTAGCTTTCTGTATTGGTTTATCAGTATTTGAAGAAATTTACAATGAATGGCAAGCATCTGGTGAAGAAATGTTCTAGTTGAATGAAATGATGCATTTCATGTGGCATATGATCTTGAGAATTTTAGATAGTTCAGTTCTTTTAATTTCAGTTTTTCCTTTTCATTTTAAAGTCAATAATTTATTTGTACATAATGCTATAATGGCATTCAGATACGTACAATTATGGTGGAGAATATTGAGAAAATACTAGAGCGAGGTGACAGAATTGAGCTTCTTGTTGACAAGACTGCAACAATGCAAGACAGTGCTTTTCACTTCAGGAAGCAATCTAAACGCCTTCGCCGAGCTCTTTGGATGAAAAACGCTAAACTCTTGTGAGTACCTCCAAACTATTGTTATCCCCTTTTTCTTTTTTCCTCCTTTTCTCCTCCTTTATTATTCACTACTGTAAAAGCCTGTTTAAGGAGCCTCTAACCATAGGTGTACCATCTATATATCCTTAGGAGACTACTCTCCTATATAAAGTTGGCATGCCAATACATTTCATATTGAAAACTGTAATTGAAGAGATAATTATGCTGTCAAGGTTTAGTCTCTGCCTTACAGGTAGTTGACGATATTAGACCATACATGTGAAAACTTGGTAGAGTCTGCATAGCTTTTAACTAGTGTTCTTATCATTTATTGTAACAAATAAATAATAGGATTGTAGGATAGCTTGGCTGCATTTCAATTTCTCATATAGGAACTTATTTGATCATGTGAACAGGGCCCTCTTGACTTGCTTAATCGTTGTGCTGCTGTACATAATAATAGCTGTTTGCTGTGGAGGCATCACTCTACCCTCATGCAGATCGTGAATTGCAGTCATTGTGTCTTAAATTCATCTTAAAGCATGCACTACAGCTGCCTGTTAGATCATTTGTGCAAGTTTGTCTTGAAGGAGGCTCCTGGTTTCCGAGTTTGCATTTTTGCAGTATATTATTTCTAAATACAGTATCTTTACTGGTTCAAGGTCTCAGAGGCTTCCCGTAATTTCTGTTGCTATTGTTGAAACTGCTGTCAAGATATTCATTTTTAGAAAGTTGAGTTGAGCGTTACATTGTTGCGGATTATCTTCTACCCTGTGCATGCATGAGTCTTAACATATGTCATGTATTCTCAATTCAAAACATGGTTGTAATTTCACAGTGTCATCTGCTTCTACTCAGCCACATGCTTGTATTTGTAAATGTAAATATCTGGTTTAAAATAATCATCTAAATCTTGGTAAAATTTGACCCCTGATTTTCCTCCGCTGGTTTTGTGGATGGTATTTTGATAAAAGACGGTATTACAGAGATAATTTTTTATATTATTTTTTGATACAATTTTTACGTATTATTAAATAAATAGATGCATTTAATATCACAGGTTTCATATTAATAAAAAAAATTAATTATTTAAATAATATATAAAATTATATAAAAAGATTATCCTAAAATTATTTTCCTATCATAAAAGTTATACAATCCAATCATGAACACTGGAATGAGAAAACTTGTACTTGTAAAATTACCTCCCATCCAAGGATGCAACGTAGAGGGAGTGGACACACTTGGAATAGATTTAAAAAGAAAGAAAAGGTAGAATTCATTTTACGTATTCAAGAAAAAAGACAAAAGTAAATGAACCAAATTGCATTTTTTTAAAAATAAATTTTATAGTTAAGGACTAAATTGGGCAGTTTAAGGGCTTATTCGCATGTTTTTTTATTCAGGGGCTGATGTGCTAAAATAGGGAAGGTTCAGGGGCTTAACAGTTGGCTTTGCCCAAAAAACAGTCAAAGGGCATGCCGGAGTCACGGGTGGGTGTGTTCCACAACTTCATAAGGACACGCCATCGTCATCCGAAACGGCTCGCCGGAGCTTGCCAGAACCAGCTCAAAGTTTCTCCCATGATTTCCGTCGTCATCTCAACAACCATGTGAGTCGAATTTAACCTCCAATGAACTTAATTTATGAGTTAATTGTAGCTGTAGTCTTTCAAAGGTTCTCTCTTGATTTCTGTCTTTGATTACTGCTATCAGTAGCCGATGGTGTTTTTCTGGGTTTCGCTTGATTCTTCGATGTTTCTTTGATTTACTAGCAAAGAAGGGTTCCTTATGTTACCTTTCAGAAAAGTTGTAAATGAAGTAAAGTAGGATATCAGAGGAACTGATGTTTGTTTGATCTTCCTTGTGTTAATCTGTTTAGGCTTGTTGGGTTCCCCAAATTCCTCCAGCTTTATTATCAATTTTTTTGATCATCCTTGGGTTAATCTGTTGTTCAGGGTTGTTAGATTCCTCAAATTCCCCCAGCTTTAATTTTCTATTTTTTCTAGTTATTTTTGGAAACAGGAATTAATTCTTTTCTAAAATATTTAGAATTAATTCTAATCTGTATTTATTTTCTAATCCCATTTGTGTAATCTCTTCTCTTCTCTTCCTGAATAGATATAGGATTTGTTTTCCTTTCCGCACTTACTAGCATAGAATTCACTCTGTGTGTCTCATGACTTGATAAATTGAGGTGTGCCAATGGACAATGCAAATTTAGGAAACTGAAAAGGAGCACAGGTAAGTTGAACATGCATGCAAACTACTCATAGGACACTCGTTCCTTCTGATATCCTATTTCATTACAAAAAAGTTTGCAAGCATGATTTACTAGATAATGCAACATAGGGATGCACAAGCATACATTTTATTGCTGGTGGTGATTATTTATACAGTGATTTTGGGTTCTACTAAGACGTGTTGGTTACCAAAGACTCGGATATTTATGTAGGTTTTATAGTTGGACATGTAGATAAGATATGATAGTGGTTTACAGATTGCTAAAAGAAGGGCTTTGAGGTTGTTGGGGGATGGAAGGGTGTCAGGAAGCTGGTAGATCTTGCAGGCGGAGGATGGATGGATGGAGATGTGTATAATGCTGGTCTGATTTGAGGTAGATATGTGATTTGGTGGTGTGGTTGGGGGTTGACAAACTAGTTTTGGGGGTCTGGGAGTTGATGGCTTATAAACAGGCGATGCTGAATCACAAGGAGGTCCCTGTGGAGGCTGGTGATGACCAAGTGGATGATGTTGCAGCCTCGGTGATCCTGTTGGACTTGGAGAAAGGCCTGATTGTTGAGGCGTTGGTGAACCTGTTGGAGGTAGAAGAGGAATCGGTGCACGTCTCTAATAATTTGGTGAATGTGGATGAATATCTCCTGGAGTAGCTGGTGAGAAGCTTTAGGAAAGACTTGCTGGCGGTAAAGGTACACAAGGAGGTCATCTGCATGACAGATAATGCTGCCTATGTACTGGTGGACAGAAGGGATGGGATGGTGGAGATGGAGGTTGGTTAGAAGGGTAGAATGGTGTATACAGTGGAGTATTGCTATCGTCCTGCAGATGAGATCATCTGAGTCTCCTGCTCGCATAGCCATTGTTGCTTGCTCTAACACCCTCAATGCAAACGATGATGGGTCTGACAGGATGATGGATCTGATGGTATTTAAGGGCAAGATTTTTGTCAGCTTTTGCATAGCCGTTACAACTCATGTCAAAAGAAGTCTGAACTATATTGGATTATCTAGTTAGCCTTCCAACTCGTTAAGTGTTTCTTGGTTTGTTCTTTCAAAGGTCATAGGGTCGCTTTGAACCCTTTTTTTTTGATGTAGAAGTTTTTTTTAGGAGTTAGAATCCATTTACACATAAGTTTTACACAATGAACTTATACAAAGTCTTAACCATTTATCTCTCCACTCCACTTAGATAATTCTCTTTTTCATCTAAAAAATCATGATAAATCTCAACCATTGAAAGTGGAGAGATGAATGGTCAAGATTTTTTTTAAGCGTAATGTGTAAACTTGTATGTAGTGAATTCCTTTTGTTTTTTTTTTTCGAATTTTCATTAAGTGATTTAATAATTTATAGCAGTTGTTATAATTAGTATAAAATCTAATATGATCAAGGGCAGGGCATCTTATTAGATACTATGTACTGCATGACTGCCATTGGTAATATTCATTTCTTTCTGCTATTAATTAGAAAGATTGTTATTCAATTTAACTAATGGTTCTTATTTTAAATTCATATAACCTAATATCATAATTAAATTTCAGTCTAAGAGCACTGGTATCACGAATTAGATATACAGTCAACCAGTTACTATACCATGGGGTAGAATAACATGAGCTTTGGCGTGCAATAAACAGCTTTTTGCAAAATGATATGCTTGAGGTAGTTGATACGAGCAAGGTTGATTTTTTTTTATGAGTTATAGAGAATAATGAATTTCATGGTTGTTGCTCTCCTGGTTCAGGATGCCATTGTTGTTTCTAATTACAAAGTGAGGTGTGCAATGTCCCGTGTCATCTATACAGGGCCAGGGACATGTTTTTCCTGGACACTAGGCTCATCATTTGCTGTTTTTTGCAGCTGAATTTTTTCAGCATTCTCTGCTTTTGCTGTTGTTTTTACTAGTACATATTGCTGCTGTTTTCTGATTTTTGGATTGGCACGTTGCTGTTTTCTGCATGCATTTTAAGTTTCAGATAGTACAGTCTCTTCTGCCTTTCCCCTGTTGCTGTAACAATGAAGCTTAGTTGGCTGGTTTGGTTGTAAATGTGTTTGTTCTCTCTATTCGGTACTGTATATTGCTGCTGCTACATTTATTCAGGGCTCGTTTGGTTTGAAGGAAATGGAGGGGAGGGGGAAAAGCTTCCTTTATTTGGATAACAAGAAAATTGGAAGGTGATGGGAGAAACTTCCTTTATTTATTTATTTATTTATTTGCTTTTTTTTTCCTTGTTCATTTTAACAATAGTAATACCAACGACCTGTTGGTCCGAGTGAAAATCATCCATCTCTATATTCAAATTTTTGTACAATGTAAGAACGATTTTGTCCCACATTATAAAAAATTCAGGTGCAATCCACTACCAATGAAGTTTTGATTAGTTCTGAAACGTTTACTGTTTCTCATTATGCTTTCCCATCTTAAGTTATTGTGGAGGCAACTGGTAATTGCATCTGGTTTGCAACTATAGCCCAACTTAGTTGAGAATACCAGTAAGCGCAGAATCCACAAAATCCTTGGCAAGGAGAGCTCTAGGTAATCCCCTTTCTCCAAGGCTCCAGAACATCACCGATCAGCACTCCTCATCGTGAGGGGAGTGTTGATCTTACTCATCCATTCAAAGGAAGGATCCAAACTCGCTGATTGCTGAGATTAGGAGGAAAATCAGGAGGAGGAGTCAGTCAAAGTAGTCTTCCATGGAAAGGAAGGATCTAAACTTGGTACCAAAACCCACAAAAGAAAAAGAAAAAGGGGCATAATGTAGCACTCGAAAAAATTGGTGGCATAAATTGCTATGATTATTATTTTTCAGTAAGGATTATAAAAAATGTA